AGCACCGACGGCAGTCGGGCTCTCCGCTGACGCAGGTGGCATCGTCAGTTTTGAACGCCCGCGAAATGGACTGAGGGGAAACTCCTCCTTCAACGGCCGTATGCGGTAGAGCATGTGGCATTTACGATGTGGCTGGCTGGCTGGCACGGCTGGTTTAAACCATCGTCTTCGAGACGAGTGCCTCACCAAGGTTGCCACATGCCTGACATCTGGAGGGGAACGCAAGCAATCGTTGGCAGTTTCAGCCTCGAAGAAAGTTGAGGCAAGCGCGCGATAACAACTATCCAAACCAGTCCATCAAGTTTTGGGATAGCAGATCGTCCCCTCTCTTGATCTCTTGATCTCTTGATCCCCCGACTCGAGTCACTTAGGGCTCAGATTCACCACGCGGACTCAACAAAGAAATCTTTCTGGCGGGGAAGTCTTTGGCGTCGTCGGAAGGAGGACAAAGACTCGGATAGAGGACCAGTTGAGAGACACCCTTTGAATCGTCCCGGGGCTTCGGTTCCGGAAGACGCGAGACGGTGATGTCGACCACGGACCAGAAGCTGGCCCCATGGCAATGACAACGACGCGACACACCGACACGACGTTCCGGCGACAACGGTTAGGTCCTTCGTTGATGGAATTCAAACCCCATCCAGTCCAAGATATGTCTGTTGATGCTCTCGACTAGGGGGAAACGTCACCCTTGCCGAATCACCAACCATCTCAGCCCACACCCAATCTCACCACCACCATCACAGACCAAAAACACAGTCATGCGGATCCTTTGTTCTAGCGCCATTCTAGAAGGCCGCTAACGGTCTTGGCTTTCTACTTTCCTTCGCTCAGCTGGGCGCTACACAGCCCCGCCAGGACTCGAGTGCGTCCTATCAGGCTGTCAGTGGTCATCGTAACACAGGTTCTTGGTCTCTCTTGACTCTCTCCCTCTTCGCCCCCTGCCTCTGCCTCTAGGTGTCTTTTCTTTATTGCTCCACCTGCACCTGTCATCCGGACATAACGAACAAGGGCGTGGGTTCTTGCTCGAGGCAGGCGGCTCCGTTGTGATTTGGTTCGTCGAGAGAGGTCGTCCCTGGTGGTTGACTGGTTCAAGAGGTACGAAATACTGTGTAGATGACGGTTCGCCGCAAAAGAAAAATGAGGGGGAAGGCGGCATCGAAATGGGATGAGATCAGCGTCTCTTGTCTCATTCTCTGCGCTGCCGCTTACCCCGGTTGGTTCTTGGATTAAGACGCTTGAAGTCGAGCCGTCGTGCATCTCCCTCAATGGGAATCAGGCTCCCGAGGATCCGATTTGTTCTAGAAGGCTTGGTGAAGTTTGACAAGGTTGTGGACCATAGTAACGAGTGTTATTGTAAACAACCAGCTTCCTCTCAAGTACCTGTTCGAGAGCAACTTCTTCGCAGCTAGTGCTGCGAGCGATGGAAACTCAGACATCCTTCCCCCAATTCCAGGCTAGCTTCCTAGAGTCAGGCTGAGGCTGATTGGATTCTCATCCAGGAATGTAACCCGCCATCACCATTACCATTACCATGATCAAATGGCCCCTCAAGACCCCATGCAGGAGTTACTTCACCGTTGCTCCAAAACGGCCTCAGTCCTGAGCCCTGCGCCCGCGCTAATGCGAAAGAAGGCGCAAGAGAACAACCACTTACACACACGCACTCCCACATATCCCTACACATACGCACTCGTAGAATTCCACTAGAACGTTCAGCGAACGAACTAGTCGCCACTCGTCAGACAGCGCCATTCCCCTCCTCCATTAGTCTCGTGTTGGCGCTCTCTCAGAGGCTCGCAACCTGACCTGGCCATGCTTGACTTGGCCTCCTCCTCGTGGCCTTCTTTGATGGGGTGACGGGTTGTCTTGACTTGGCAAGACAGAGGGCTGGTATACAAATGTCGAGTCGCTGCTCTTCCGTGCCTAGCCTTGGCGCATTTCTTTTTTCCCTTTGCCATTCGGATTCTGTCATACGTTCCCGCCCGCTAATACGTACTTCACATCGCGATTGAGTCGGCATTAACTACATAACGACCACCCCCCATCTCGCAATTCGCCCACCCTTCTATCAAATTAACGTCGTTCCGTCTACCCATTCCTTCTTAAATTGAGGACGAATACACCGACTACGCCTTTAACAATCTTGGACACGCCGTCAAAAGCTTCATGCAAGGATAGATTCCATTATCAGTCTCACAGCGACTGAACCGTGAGCACAACATGTATCCCACCAAGAGCCCGTCAAACATGTCACCAGAAGACGTTCGAACTCTATGCGACCTCGCCGGCCGGTACGGGTCCGGAAGCTTAGAAACAACCCTCCGGAACATTAGCGGCAGCAACTATACATCCCTCCGCCCTCCGCCCCAGCACCACCACCGAAACCCTCACCACATGGACGCCCCGGCGAGGAACTCAGCCCTCTCCACCTCAACCTTTGGCAGCAACAACAGCGCGCCATCCCTCACAAACAGCGCCAGCCCCTGGAGCAGCTCCGACGCGTCCTTGTGTGGCTCAGAGGCTGTGTCGCTATCGGGGAGCTATTTCAGCCAGCAGCCCGGCGGCACTGCGGCAGCCGCCTCCTGGGCCGACGCCGTGGACGCTCCGTTCCTGATGTCGCCCTCCGTGACACCATCCCTCTCCGGCTCCGAGTGGCAGGATCACCACATCAGCGAGCACCTCTCCTCAACTCCATCACGCGAGAAAAAGGCCTCTGCCAGCATGAGGTCCCCGTCCTCGGGTACCGTCGGCGGCCGCAAGCCCATCGAGTGTCCTATGTGCGCCGTCCACGACGTCTACGTCGGCTTCGGCAGGAAAAGCGACTTCAAGAAGCACCTCCAAAACTTCCACAACACCGACTGCATCTGGGTCTGCCCGCAGGACAACTGCCGCATGATCTTTGACTTTGAAAAGGCCTACATCGCCCACGTCAAGCTCGACCACCACCAGGGCGAGGCGGCGTACCCTCCCGCCGCGGCCGTGGCGGCAGCAGAACAGGTCAAGGTCGGCCTCTGCACGCAGGTCGTCTTCGCCTGCGGCTTCATCGGTTGCAAAGAGGTCTACGAGGCCGCCGATGACAGCGAGGCGCCCAAGACGGCCGACGCCTACTTTGACCACCTCGCCAGTCACTTTGACAAGCGCAGCAGCACCATTAATAACACCAGTGGTTGCAATAACAACAATCTCGGCCTCTCGTCAGAGTGGACATACTATCATCAGATGCAAAACCTCCTCCGTCAGCGCTCCCTCAAAGACGAGTGGAAGCACACCCTCTGGGACAAGGCCGCACGCAACCAACTCCGCTGGCAGCCCCGCTCCTCAGGCGACCTCAAGAAGCTCCTCGAGTGCCGCCACCTCGCCGACGTGCCGCGCATCCTCCACGCGGCATGGACGCTCGGCCAGACATGCTTCTCCTCCCCCGAGCACCCGGCCCCCGAGTTCCCAGGCGAAGCAACGCGGCCCGTCCGGTCCCGCTGCCCGCTCGCGGGCGAAGGCAGGAACCACGGCGAGCTCCGCGATGTTGTCTGCGGAGGTCAGCAGCAGCATGAAGAGCAACCGCCGTCGGCGATGACTATGTTTGCCCTGCGCCGCAGCCTCTTCCCCGTCAAGCTCGCCACCGTCTCGCATCCGCCGCCGCGCTCGATTCCCGAGGAGCCGGATTCCCTGGCCTACCCGCACCCGGGCACCCCTCTCGTCATCCCCGAGCGTGACGCCTGGTCTACGGACGTTGTGCTTGGCCCGCCCGAGGACGAGCAGATCTTCGGCCCCATGTTCATGCCGGGCAACAGGGCGACGACGAATATGCTGCAGCAGAGCCCCATCTACCCTTGGACCGATACTACTACGTCTCACCAGCAGCAGCAAAGGCGGTCTTTCGGCGACTTTGCGCGCCATCTCACACCCTCGCCACAACCTACCGAAGACCAGGACAGCAGCCTCGGTCCGTTGCTTCAGGTCCCTCAATCCGCATCTGCCACCACAACCGCCGCGAAACGCCCCCGCTCGTGGGGCATGAGGAGCCTCGAAAACCTGCGCCTCAAGCGTCGTGGCCGTTCGTCGCCCGTCACGTCACCCGTTGAGGAGAAGGCGGCTTTAGCTGGGTGGATCTGAGACAGCCAAACTCCCTTGTCTCTGCACCATTTCCCCCTCTTCTATCTTCTTTGTTCATACAAACCATTTTAGACCTGTATTACCTAACGCTCTACATGACATGAATGCATGGGTGGTGGCGCAGCTTCATATACATGTTTCCTTTGCATTTTCTTTGTTGGTTTTGGGGTCGGGGTCGAAAATTATAGACTACAAGATACCCCCAATGAGCCTTCTTCGCTATAGGTACTGGGTTGGATATGTCGGGGTCGCCGAAGACGCTAGGGAGGCGAGGGAAGTGGCTACCCACTGGCATTGCTTTGTTGATATCCGAAGGCGGCTCTGACTGGATGATGATTATGATGACGTCTGGGCGTTCCCTGATGGAAATACCATTTAGACAATTCAAACTGGAGTTATCTTTCTTCCTCCTATTTCCCCTTGCTCATATCTTTACTCATTGATGTTCCGAGGTAAGTAGCAGTTAGATCCACTTCCTGTTCCCTTCGATGCCCAATCATGGTTGCGTCGCACTTCACATTGTATATGTCAACAAGAGAATAGAAGACATAAGGAGCGCGAAATAATCCCTATTCTCCTATTATCAACGAGTGGCCGCCTTCAATTTCGTTGGATCCACAGGTGCAGATTCCTGAGGAGTTGAGCTAGGTAGACCGTACTTCGAGGTGGCTACTTGCGCCGATAGAGACACCCTTGAAAGGGAGTATGGTTCTTGGCAAGCTGTCTCAGGCCGAAGGTAAGGTACGTCGGGTAAGGTCTAGTGACAATAGAACTAACATGCAGGCATATCATATTCATCCTTGCCCATATTTACTTCCGTCAGTTCAAAGCTTGATTCGCTTGAAGATAGGAAAGGAGGAGAGAAAAGAATAGGGAGTGAAACAACCATGAATGTCATCAATGAAATCACAGGTACGCAACGTAGTCTGGCTCTTCTGTGCAGGTACTTTCCAACAAGACGAACAACAGACTACCACACGATTAAAGAATCTTTGCCTCGAAATTGTCTTATGCGGACACCATGTCAGACACACTACTTTGCCAGATAAATAGTGTTTGTTAATTGGTGGCTGGCAAAAGCCACACCATCAGAGCCTACCTAAGCGCCCAAGTGAAGAAGTTACTACCACAAGGTACTGAGGAGCTTCAGGAGTAATTACTTTGCCCGATTGGTTAGGCGTGAGACGGGCAAGATGTCGGTCGGCTAGGATACGTGGCTGCCTTATCGTATAGAATACTGTCGTATGACAGGGCTTTCGCGAAGAGACGTACAATTCCCCCCTCTTTCTCAACTTTTGCCAATCTGCGCCTTCAAAATCTCCATATTCTTCATTAATCGATCATGGCCATAGTCAAATTGATCAAAGATTTGGCATCCGTGATTGCATTCGCATTGGGCTTTCTAGTAAGCCTCTTACGACCGCAATCATTTTTAAACCGAATAACTAGGGCTGCAAAGACAGCGGAATCCTACTATACCGATCTCTGGATTCGTTTATACGGAGCCTGGCCGGTTTATTGGAAAATGGGACGATGTTGGCGCATCATTCAGCCAGACCGATGCTTGGGAGCCATTCTCCCTTCGGAACACTGTCAAGGCCAATGATGAGAACAATGCCCGATTAGAGTCATTAATGAGTGCACTTCCACCCCAGGCGGATGGAGTGGCTCGAGTATTTCTCCAGGAGCTTTTTGACGATGACGTTCGCGACAATGACTCCACATCCGGAATGGACTTCCCGTACAAGTTCCCTCCTCTTAGGATCGCTACTGTGGGCTTCTTGTCGTTGATTAGCAACCAATATTGGGCCTCACCACTTCGATGGCATAGGATAGAGTCTTTCAATTTCATCGCAAGCAAGCGAGGCAGTCCTCAAGTTCGCTGGGTCAATGTCGTGCGGTATCTACGCTTTCAGGTCATTGACAATCGACTACAAGGTAAGCCTGCTGCAATACGCGACGCTGGACTAGCTAGATGTGTGACTGACTTTTGATCAGAGTTTATCATGTGCAGAACACTTGTCCGTACAGACTGGACGGGAAACAATCGTCGTTTCCCAGAAGAACAGTTCCGTCTCTACCAAGCAACAGCTACCTTTGCTACACAGCTATGCGAACTCGACGCTATGTATCGCCCTTTCAAAAACACGTCGGACTGGATGAAGGCTTTCAGCCTACAGTTCTGCCATGCCAATCTGCTATTGTATGCTAAATTTCTATTGGTATATGAAACCGCCTTCGGGAGGCAGCGGGGATTGCTGGACCCCACCCGTGCAGAGCTCCAAGAGGGCAACGTTGGAAAAATCACTGCAGAACATCAATTGATTCAGAAATTTTCAGAAATTGGAGATCGAATGCTAGTGGCCATTGAATCACTAGTTGAAATCCTCCAGAGCGCCACAAGAAGTCAAGTTGGATCGTCCACGCCAGTATCGAGAACGTCCAATATCCCGATAACAATGTCAGAGACTCCCCAATTAGCGGCCATAGAACTCGAAATCCGCTTGTATTGCAAACAGTTAAGAGGTAGCCTAACGAGACTCTCTACCGCAATGGAGCATGACCTCAGGTTACTAGAAGTAAGGAGAGAGGTAAAGCAAACCGATAGTGTCCAGCAGCTAAGTATACTTGTCACAATTTTTCTACCTCTTTCTATATCTTCAGGGGTTCTGAGTATGCAGACACGATTCAAAGACCTAGGTGCGCTTCTATATGATTTTTTTGGTGTTATGACTCTTCTTGGAGCCCTTGCACTTTGCTTCATCTTGCTCTTAGACTTTGTACATTTCGTAACCGGGCCTTATCTGGTCCAGTTCGATATGGAGATGAACTGGACGGCGATGTATAGTGAGGAAGTAGCCAAGCGAAAGCAGCAGCTCTCCACATACGTACACTTTCGGATACTTGCGTCTATTCTCTGGTGGCTGGGTCTGGGTCTATTCTGCATTATTCTTGTCGTTTCCTGTCTCATTGGCATGTTTAGAGATATTAGCCTCGGTGCTAAGGTGCTTGGATACGGGCTAGCTGTCGTCTCCTTCCCTGCTGTGATTGCCTTGAGCCTTACTTTTCTTCTATCCTTGATGGGCGAATTGGTATGACGACGGCGAAAGGCAAGGAAAGCGGCACAAGAATCACCTCGAGTCGAAAGGCGTCGGCAAGGTATGGGAGCAGATGAGGAAAATGCCTCCCCAGTCAACCCGCCTGAACCTACGACTAGGATGACGGAGCTAGCAAGCGCTGCCGCCAACCACGCAGAATCAGAGGACGAGGTGGCCAACGAGTAGAAAGATGTAAAGTATGCGATAGGATACAGGGCTTATACTAAATTGTCATTTATGTTCATAGGTAATGATGATTCTTGTGGTATTATGAGTGCTAGACAACGATCGGCCCGAAGGTGATGGCGACATCCGCACCATGGACTCGGTCTGCTGCCCCGGTATGTGCATGTATGCTGCCTAGGGGAAGGTCGTTGTCCATCGAATCTGATGGTGACTTGTAGCTATCCTGGTCACCATACAATACAGTTTACGATCTAGCGCTAGTGTAAAGCAAAAGGATACACGTTTCGTCCGCTCGTTTGGACCTGCAACCCCATATGATCGTGGACTTATAATCTAGCCAACACAGTTTACACATCACGTTTTAAGATAGAGGCGATGCAAGGTTGAGATGAGGTGCAAAAAAAAACTTTTCAACATTCAACTCGTGAAGTTTGATATATGTACATTCTCTTGACAAGGTCGAGGTAAACTAACCCAACTCCGTAACGGTCGATTTTTGGTGTGAATGCCCGAAATGAAGCCCCCAGACTACGGAAAATGCTGCGATAAAGCACTTTTTAGATTTTGTTTGATTTTTTGAACTTGTTTTGTTCCGGACGAAACCTGCGATACAGTCGCCCGTAGTAGGAAAAATCCCTGATCCCAATGGAAGGACTTTTCTGCTCAAGATGGAGATCTCGTTATGGCCAAAGAGAACCCAACAAAGCCTGGTGGTATAAGATGAGAGAGCAATATGCATGGACGCCTCCAATGTGGACAGATTACATAACAAGAAAGAGCTGCGAGTGCTGGCTGTTCAGCCGTGGAGACCACGCGTTCTCTCGCGCATCAGCTCGCGGCGCTTCTTATCCTTTTCTGTCAAGGGATTAGCATTGAGCTTACAAAAGTCAATAGATGGGGAATACTAACCTCCGTCCCATGTCAGGAACTCGTGGAGAGCTGATCCAGAGGGCACCATCGGCAGGACAGGCACCTTCTTGTCGGTGACGACCTCAAGGAAGGCGGGGCCGTCGGAGTTGATGAGCCACTTGAGAGCGTCGACAACCTCATCAGGCTTGCTCACTCTGCGGTGCTGGACACCCATGGCATCAGCCAGCTTCATGAAGTCGGGGTTCTGCTGGTGGGTGTGGGCGTAACGGTCCTCGTAGAAGAGGTTCTGCCATTGCGTAACCATACCCTGCTCCTCGTTGTTCAGGACAATGACCTTGACGCCAATGTTGAACTGCGCAGCGGTGGAAAGCTCGGTGAGGGTCATGTTGAAGGAGGCGTCGCCGTCAATGTCGATAACGAGAGCGTCGGGCTTGGCGACCTTGGCACCAATGGCGGCGGGGAGACCGTATCCCATGGTACCCAGGCCACCAGAGGTAACCATGGTTCTGGGGTGTCTCCAGCGGAAGTGCTGAGCGGTCCACATCTGGTGCTGACCGACACCGGTAGCGATGATGGTCGTCTCCTTGCGGTCGGCGGTCAGGTTGCTGAGCTCCTCAATGAGAGTCTGGGGCTTGATGAGGCCGGAGCGCTCGGCCTTCTCGTAGTCGGACATGGGCCACTTTGCCTTCCACTCCCTGATCTTGTCGAACCATTCCTTGCGGTCCTCCATGGTCTTGGGCTTCAAGTGGGGGATCAAAGTGCGAAGGTTAGTGGCGACGTCACCCTCGACAGCCTCGGTGGCCTGGACAACCTTGTTGATGTTCTTGGGCATGATCTCGAAGTGGACGATACCACCGCGGCCCTCGGCAGCGGCAGCCTTGGCACCAGGCGCAAACTTGGCGACGTTGAGGGTGACACGGTCGTCGAAACGGGCACCGAGGGCGATGATAAGATCGGCCTGCTGAATAGCCATGTTGGCGTAGGCGGAACCGTGCATACCGAGCATGTGAAGGGACTTCTCGTCAAGCTCGTCGAAGGAGCCGAGGCCATGAAGGGTGGTGGTGACGGGGATGGAGAACTTGTCGGCAAGCTCCTTGAGGATCTCGGGGCCACCCTCAGACTGGGCAATACCCTGACCGGCGTAAATGATGGGCTTCTTGGCGATGTTGACGAGGTCGGCAACGCGCTTGATGGACTGCTCAAGCTGCTTCTGGAGCAGGGCCATGGCGGCTCTTGAGGCGGCGCTCGGGAGGGAAGGCAGTGAGGTTTCGGTGGGGATAGCTCTCCTCAGGACACCGGCAGTGACGTCCTTGGGAAGATCGACCAAGACGGGACCGGGGCGACCGCTGGTGGCGATCTCGAAAGCTTCGTTGATACGGCGGGGGAGCTCGGCAATGTTCTTGACCATGACGTTCCACTTTGTGCAGGCACGAGAGATACCAGTGACATCAGCCTCCTGGAAAGCATCACTGCCAATGGCGGAGGTGACGACCTGACCGCAGAAGACAACCATGGGGGTGCCATCGGAGAGGGCATCCTGCATGGGGGTAATGACGTTCGTCGCACCAGGGCCGGAGGTGACGAGGACGACACCGCACTTGCCCGAGGCGCGGGCGTAGCCCTCAGCCATGTGGCCGGCGCCCTGCTCGTGCTTGGGGAGAATGAAGTCGAAGTGTTTTGAGTTGTAGATAGCGTCGAAAACGGGGAGAATGGCACCGCCGGGGTATCCAACTGTGAGTCACGGTCAGCCATATGTCTCTGTGATGCCATCCTGATATACGCAGTTGAGTCACGTACAGATGTGCTTCACGCCCTGTCTCAACATCATCTCGTGGAAGATTTCTCCTCCAGTCTTGCCAATGAACCTGTGTCACAACGTAAGCTTTCCCGCGCGCTTCCAACAAGCCGACAGCGGCGGTAGATATAATTGGCCACGAGGGGCGACGTACGACTCGTCCATCTCCGGGCCGGTAGAGCGCTGAAGAGGTTGAACATGGCTCTTGTCGGCGTTGAAGGCGGGTGCGGGCGTGTCTCGAACCTCACTACAATTGGTAAAACAGGGTCGTTAGTCAAATGTTTCGTGAGTCACCAGCTTCGTCTTGTCGACTGGCTGTGCAGTTTCCCCAGTTAATGGAAGCATGGGAAGAAGCTTACGGAGCGGGCGAGGTGGCAGAGGTAGCCTGCGTCCTCACGCCGGAAGGGACCTTCTTGGTGGCCTGAATGGCGGCGACGGCAGAGGAGGTGGTGAGGTTACGGGGAGCGCTCGCTCTTGAGACGGCCTTAAGGGCGCGAGCGGCGTGGCGGGTTCGGAGCATCATGATGAGCGGTGGAGTGGAGATGAACCGGGGAGAAACAAAGTAGAAGGAAGAGGAAGAAGAGGTGTCCTTCGGTGTGATGCTTCGTCAATGTCTCTAAGGAGAGAGCAAAGAGTAACAGACAGCGAGAGGGGAGCGGCTCGTCGAATTGGACGATCGCAGGGGGTATGGAGGTTGCAGAGATCGCGGAGTCAATTGGAGGAGGGAAGGAGGAGAGAAGGAGGAGGGAAGGGAAAGAAAGCCCAGTCACAAGGTTTTGGCAAATTAGAGCAGCAGATGTCAAATTCGAGACTGGGAATTGGGGGCCGGGCACAGACACAACTAGTAGCGTAAGGATAATAGACAGGTAGAAGAGAGGCACGGCGCACACCGGGGTTTAACTTTGCGTAGAGTCACCGCTGTCTCTGTCTCTTTCTCTTTACTTTCGGGTAGTCTCTCTTTCTGTCTCTCTCACACACAGTTTGGCAGCACCAAGAACGCAGAGAAGCAGTGGTGGAGAGGCGCGGCTGCTGTTTCGGAGCCAGGGAAAAAACCAAAAAAAAATTATCGGCCGTCGAGGTGTGGGGTAGCCGGCCGATGACTGGCTGGAAGGGCGCAGGACGGGCCACGACGGGGGCGAGAACGAACAAGCGTTGCCCATCGGGGGAGGGGCACGGGCCTCAGGTCCAATCTGGGGTGGCGATATCGGCCTGACCTTCCCTCCCATTGACTGCTCCTTCCCGCGCTGCTGCAGTTGCTGCATCTTTACCGCCTTCCTCCCATGTTTGCTTCCTTTCTCCGTGCCTTACTGGCAGCTTCCTACCGACAGCTATAAAGATCGGAAAGAACGATAGCAACAACGGAACCGTAGTCGGCTGAACGGCCTGCCACCTCTGCTGACTCAACGGGTTTATGACTCATTCGTGATTGGACACTTACCTCGTTCCCCACACTATCCCTCTGTTCCATTCCGGTCTCCCTCGTGCCTCCCCGACCTTGAATGCCCCCGAATGCCAGACCGAGGAAAGTGGGCGGAGCAAACACCCGACGTCTGCGACCGTTTCCACGCTTTCCCTGCCCCAGAAATGGTTCACCAGTCACCACACACGCAGTTGCAGTCGTAAACCGTAAAGAGTCACACATGCATGCACACTCTCCCACAATATCCTCCACAAATCTTGAGAAGCCACTCCCGAGGTCCCCTATCTTTTCCTATCGATCCGAACCGACACCAAACTGAAGTCTCTACTCACCTTGTTCACCACCGTTTCTCTTCTCTTGTCATCAACGTATCTAGATTGTCATCCTGGGAATCTAATCCTTAGTGTTGCACTAACATGTAATCTGCACTTCGTCTCATGTTTGGTCAACACATCCGCAACCCTAACACGCCAAGGTCTACTGCACGTTGCATGCGGTCCAGTCACGGATCCGGGGTTTTGCAGCTGTCAGACAACGGCTCCAACCCCATTGAATCGCGAGACATGGGAGCTGCCGCCACTTAAAACCGCATCACGCGATGCTCGTTTGGCCGAATCCGTCCAGCACGAACTGCACTTCCTCCCAAGTCAGCAATTCGTAAAAACGTGGCCGTCAACCGCCGTAGTCTTGACAGTAGTTTGCTGTACAGATATTGAATAGCGGCTGGCCGATTGAGTTCGGATCCCGGTCCCCCCTCATCCGGTCTGTCCCGGTCACATACTAGAGAGCAACTAATTAATCCCCTTTTTATGCAGGGTCAGCTTGACAGCACAGTCAGCCTTTGACGAGGCATCTCAAATGAATTGATAGTGACTTGAAATTTTTGTTTACTCATGGGCGCATGCCTCATCCCATGGACCTCGATGCGCCCTTTAAACACCGAAACCAGAATCGAATACAATAGGTATCTTGAACCATGACTGCTTTTTACGCCTCCGTCCCTGATCACCGCACGCCTATCGGTCGAGGCTTGATCATTCATCCCACCCTCGAAACCCACAACCCATCCGCATCTCCGCCTTACATCCGGTTTTGGTCACCGAATGGACCGTGCGCTTCATACGCAGCAGCCGGTTGCCCATACGACATGAGAGGCTGGTTGTCCGAATCGTGAACTTGCACAGCTGGCTGTCGCTTGGCCGCCATCTTCGCATCCATAGCCGCCTGCGCCCTTGCCGCGTTGCGCTTCTTCTGCTTCCTCTCTTTGCAGCAAAGGAACGTGATCCACGCAATGGAACCCGTGATGGCCACGGCGAAGAAGAGCGCTACAGCGATGCCGCCAGGGTAGACGGTGTTGTCCAGCACCTTGCACGAAGGGTTGCCCGAGTTATCGTTCTTGCAGAGCAGGCCCGCAGCGCATGTTCCGTACACCACCTGTGTCGGGAAGCAACCTTCCTTGAGAGTTTTGCCTTTCTGCACGCCAGTCGAGACAACGGGGCATTGCGTGGTCGACTTGGTCGTCGACGTAGAGCATGTGAGCTTGGAATAGGTTGCCGTGCCGGAGGTTGTGCTCGTGGCTGTCTCAGCGGTTGCCGCAGTTGCCTCTGTAGTCTGACGCGCGAAGACAGTGACATGACGTTTGCGCAGTTCCGCAGGGGCGCTGCCGCTGTTATCACACCTGTCCAGAGTCCACTGCGACTCAATAACGGCTTCGGCAAAGTCGCAACCAGCATTGATGTAGCATCTCTCCAGATCAGTCTGTGTAAAGTCGTCGGTGAGCATCTCTATGCAGTGAGCCACGGATCCAGGTTCGCCACAGGCTGCCAATCTGGCCAGCTCGAGGTTTCGTGACCGAAGGCAATGCAGTCTCGCCGGCGACAGGGCCGAGGCCGTGGCCACAAAGAGGAGCGCAACAAGCGCCGAGGCGGACTGGGATGAACGCATATTGCCCGGGGTTTTGTGGGGTGTTGCAAATGACTGCCGGGACGGGGGTCCGTGGAAGGTGGGATTGACAGGTTCGGAGTGGGTGCTCAATTGCCGGCCTCAGAGTATTGGGAGACGAAGTGGTGCTGTGTGACGAACTGCTGTTGGGGTTTGGCAGCTTCCTGATTGGGAGGATTGGTTCGGTAACCGGCAGACTCGGTTCCCAGTGCCTTGAACAAGCTACCAAGTATTGAAGGCAACTTCTGATGTGGTAGTGAAGATGGAAGTCGGATAGTCGGGAAGAGACGATCGGTGTCTACCTGGGATGTCACTGCGATGATGAGGAGCGAATATGTAAGAGCATAGGAGGTAAGAAGCAGGAAGAGGGAGGAAAGCAGGATGACCTACGCCGGACAAGCTGGGGATGAGCTTCAATAAAAAGAAGTGAGGGAGCTGAACGCCTCTCGGCGCCTCGGAGTTGGGTCGAGCCTGGTGGTATCCATTTGGGCTTGTTGCTGTTGTCACCTCACCGTCCTTGTCTAGCTGCTTGTCTCTGGCTGTGAGCTGAGGGACGCCAACCACGCCAACGCCAATGCCACGAGAGCAAAATGCACCTCAGCACGGGTAGTCCAGTGTCCGTTGGGGTCGGGATTGGTCATGTCTTGGGTCTCCGCTTAGGCTCACTCTTTTCGTTGCTTACCTGCAGCTTAGCAGAACCAGGCTTGGGGGGCTTGTAAGGCTGGGGCCTTCATTCCGCAGCAGCTCAGCTCTTCACGGAAGAGACGGTACTGTGTGCTCTGCTTTGGACTCTGTAGGCTTGAGTTTGTCGGTGGTGCGACCTCATGCTCCCGCAGCATAGCCCTTGTGTTAGCTCGCCCTTTGCTAGCCCACCCGGCGAATGGGATTCGGAGTCGTGGTGGCTGATGGCGCTGGCCTCCATAATTAGCTCTGTTGGTCGCATCTGCGTCTGTACGGGCGGTTCACGATGCCTTCACGTAGATTCGCCGTCTGATCTCTTCTCGGTTCTTGCACAGCATGTCTCTTTGTTCTCTCGAGAAAACCTCAACTTCGCTTCGTTCGAAGTCAAGTACCCAGAGGTCTGAATTCGGTCGCAAGGTCGTTCTGTCGATACAGCCGAGCCTCCCCACGAGGCTCTCGATTCTCGAGAACCGCAATGGGCCCAGAATCCACATCCTCAAGCTAAAATAGCATATGCTGTTCCCGGCACGCGGCTTGGCCCAAATCGTCTAAGAGGAAGGGCACAGAGCAAACTCTAAGACTTGGAACCCCACGAGGCAAGGGGGAACTTGCACTGGATTTCGGAAGATGGGGCCAATAGCAAGCCGCCGCACTGGGTTCGCATCTGCCTTGTCGTGGTCCAATTCCGCCATGTAGCATGTAGCAGGCTGCAGTGTTTTTCATCCAGCGGGGGTTAGGGAATAGCTTCCCTGATGGCTGAAGGACAGGAAGAAGAGAAGAAATCGCTCGCTTGGTGTTAGTGCTGAGGGCTGTGATGATTGATCCCTGCTGCGGCTCCAACTGGCCGCTGGTTGTTTAGTTTAATTTGCCCGTGGCTGAGACCTGCCACCCTGTAAGCTGAGCCAACCCCTCGTCTCCGTTCCTATTCGGACCACACCATGCACCAGCTGAGATCCAACTGATCACTAGACGTTGGATGCTCCTCGTGGCTGGATGATTGGATTGAGCTTTGCGACGGTTCAGTATGTCGTTTAGTCTGCAGATAGGCAGAAAGAGGCAAGCAAGATGATTTTCCTGGCCTCGTTCCTGCAGGCTTGTATTTGCCCTGTTGGTGCCAGTGCCATTCCTGCGAGAGCGTGGTTAGGAAACGGCGCGGCGATGCGGTCAGACGTTGGGAATAACTCCAGACGGGCATCCACCTGAGACAAGGTCGCCATTCTATTAGCAATCAGAAAGAAGACGAACACGGTCAGCAGGGCCTAAATCTATGACCGTAATCATGGCCTCGTTGAAGACCGTGGAGAATTGGAGACGTGAGATCGGGGCGGGGCGCTATTTCTATCCCGCTGACAGAGAAACTCGTCTAGAGGTGAAGTCACTGCTAAGAAGCGAAGGTCGAGGGAATCGGCAATATCAGGAGCCACAACACCCGACATTCCAAAGGCGCGGATGGAATGTTTCTTGTCCCCGTGACGTCCATT